TAACCTTGTAGTTAAGACTATCCCATGGCCTAAACCTGTATGGGATTATCTTCTCTATCTCTCTATTGTAGGTAGTTGGGATTGAGTTAGTAATCTGGAGTAACTGTCTACGTTGTTTTGGCTTTTTAGTTTGCTGGGGGTCTGTTGCTTGAAGCCTAGCAATAGCTATTGCGATTGGGTGGGTTTTAGCTAGCTGAGCTGCTCTTGTTGCGTAGTTTCTTAGCGTAGCGTTTAGCCGTATCGCTGGTGATAGTAGGCTTGCTTCAACACTTGCAGGTATTGATGGAGCGGTTCTAAAGACTCCTAGCACCTTTCTACACGCGAGATTGTGGAGTGGTTGGAGTAGCTTTGTTGCGTAGCTTTGTGAGTGCCAGTATACTGGTGCTCCGTAGTCTGCAACGCTAGTAACGCACGCTAAGTAGAGCTGCCTAATGGCGTAGGGAGAGAGGCCTGTCTCTATATTTGCTAGTCTCCCTATCCTCTGGAAGGCGTACGTCGCGCTTTGGGGAGGCGCGATGCTATGGAACAACTTCACCAGCACCGATACTGTCGCCATCGACCTCGCGAATAGCGATGGCACATGTGTGAAACTCTTCGGGATGCAGGATCCCATCATCTACAACATCAAGGTCAACGCGACCGGCTTCCCCCAAGAGGAGACTATAGCTGCGGGCCTCGATGCGCCCAACGTCACTGTCGCTCCTCCGGAGCAAGACACCCCAAGCAAGCCTGTAGAAGATACTACAGCGTGCAACGAGATGGGAGTCATGGACGACATGATCCATAATATTCCCAGCCATTTCATGGCCTTTGTCTCCCACCTCGTCATGGGCCTGGTCCTCATCCCGCTCGTGGCCATGTACTACACCGCGTTCAAGCCCCTTGTCTTCGCATTGGGCTTTTACACAAACATTTCTGATCCCCAAGAGTATGTAAACCGTTCATTCAATTTCACATGGCATACACTTGCTGACTGCAGTAGACAAGCTTCCCTGTCCCCTTTCCTCTCGGAGTACAAATATGCAATGTACTTCTGGCTGGCCATAGCCATAATCACCGTCCTCGAGCCTTTCGTCTCCTCTGCCTTGATGGCTATTCGCAACATCCTGCACAATCACCACGAGCAGCCCGCTGCAACACACAGCCAGGCCATCGTCGACGAAATGAAGAAGAAGTTGTGCAGACTTTTGGGCAAGGTCTATGGTCATGGTGTGTTGATCCGAGATCTTGGTGAGCAACAAGACTCGCACGCCCTCTCTCTGGCTGGACATACCACATCCTTGGGATATGTGAAGGTATGGCTGTCGAGACTGGGCGGCATAATCCAGAGGCTCGGTACCAAGATGGAGGAGGCTGAAAGGAAGTTGTCGAACGTATCCCAGATCCTTGTCCAACACGATGCGGACATCAAACAACTTGAACAGCACATCGTGCATGTGGATGACGACCAAACCGATATCGCAAATAACGCGTCAAGGACCACCGGAATACATAACGACATCGACCACGTCGCCAACACCAGCAAGCAGGGAGCCCAACTCATCCGCAATCGCATGAATATCCAAGAGTCCAAGATCGAGCAGCTTGAGCACGAGAGTCTGAAGCAGTTCAACAAAATGATCAGTCTCAGACACGAGAACTCCATGCAGGCCACCGAAATTCACAACCTCAGGTCGGACAGCAAAAAGCAGGCCGCCAGCATCCGTGACCTCCAGTCCGAAAGCGCCGCTCACGCCACGGGAATCGCCAACCTCAAGGACGACAACGCAGCCCAAGAGGCCCAAATCAAGGGCCTCAAGCACGAGAACACGACTCAGGCTGGCGAAATCCACGACCTCAAGGACCAGCTTGCTGCGCAAGCCACTGAGATGGACGGCCTCAAGAAGACGCTGGCTGAGGAACAAAAGGACAAGACATCCATCATCACCTTCTGCAAGAAGTACGTCTTCACGCAAAAAAACGCCAACGAGTACTACCAGCGCACCATCTCGGCCGCCCCGGACAACCAGCTCGCTCCGTACTTCAGCGCATTGATGACGGGCATGAACATGCAGATCGCTGTCATGTGCGAGATCATGGGCCGCTTGCAGATGGGCGATCCCAGTCTGCCCAAGTACAAGCAGCAGCAACACCAGCTGCAACACCAGCAGCAACAGGCTCGCAATGCTATGCAGCCCGGTGTCGGCTATGGCATGCAGCAAGGAGGATACGCTCCGCAGCAAGGTAACTTTGGCACTCAGCAACCCGGCTTTGGTACACCACCACCTCCACTACCACAACCCAACTTTGTCCAGCAGCAAGGTGGTGGCTTTGCTACATCACCTCTACAGCCCAACTTTGGTGGGCAGCGACCTGGCCTTAGTCCCCAGCAGCCCGGCTATGGTCCGCAGCAAAGCCAGTACTCTAACCTCGGGTCTCCTGGTGGTTTCCCACCGCACTTCCGGAAGTAAACCCATCACTTCCTCTCTCTCCTTTCTGTCCTCTTTTCCTTTTTTTGCAATCAGGATATCGGGGTACTTGGTCATGGTCGGTCTGGTGTTTGATGATTGCTTTCTGGTCACGATTTGCACGATGGTATCAGGGATATGAGGGCTGGGGGGATTTGTATGCCGTGGGAGCTTTTATTTGGCTGGCTTTGGTGTCTTTGCTTGCTGCGTTTTTTTTTTTGCTTGCTTTCCTGTTTTCGTGTCCTTGTTTTTTTTTACTGTAAGTACACGAAAGCAAGTCTCCTGATGCATCAAAATAGTGCAACAGAAGTCGCGTACTCACAGAGGGGCGACTCTTGTTGTCTTATCTCGACGCAACAGGGCGAATTGCTCTCGTGCGCTTCGCTGTTTTTGAGTTCACTCTTGTATGCGCGCTTGCTTGCTTGCTATGCATGACCGACCGACCGATCGACCAAACCATCCAATGAATTGATATCTACGTATTCTGAAACTTCATGAGTTGATCTTCAATTAAACCGTGAAATGGAAAGTTTTTGAAAATGATGCGATTGAGTGTGTGATGACATATCTTGCTGAGCTGCCGGTACATTTCCAATTCTAATCGACGGACCAACAATATCATTCTGAGTAGTCGAAGTCCTCGTCTTCGTCATGGAAGCCTCTCGTAATATGAGAGCAAGCTGAAGACTTGGATGGTCTTGACACGCGAATTTGACCAGATTGCATCATCAGTATCATGCGCCAAAGTCCAGGATGCGCCGTACGGCTGCGAGATACATGGTGGCAGCGATGAGACGTCGCAACGCAACCAAAATCAACAAGACATCAGAGGTAAAAGCCTCAGTCCATGGCTTCCAGGTGAGATATAGCTGTATTTATCCGCCTAAGATACCCATCCTTCTCACACTCCACAGAAATGCATCGCGCGCGCACGCGCTATCGTACCACATTTTCTCCCCGTGCATTCTCATCTCGATGCTTCATCGTTTCAGACTACTCCACGACCCGTCATGTGAGAATGAAGCAGTGGAGATTCTGGCGACGATGATGTTACACGACCTCTCAGTGTTGTTGCTCGCACTTTTGCACACTGCGTCGATGTCGCACATCGCACAAAGTACACAGCGTATCGAAACAATGCACCAATCCAATCAGATCTGACAATTTTGATCGAGCACCTTAACATCTCCTTTATCCTCTGGCTAGATCACGCCTGTCACTGCCCTGTACCCGCGATAGCCCTGTGCCTCATCTTGTTCCTCGTCCCGTTATCGCACTCGCTATACCTGTACTCCGGCAACAAGACTTACCTCGACGCCTGAAACCCGCGGTTCCCGGATACAATTAGCGGCAGTCTATGAAATACGGGGCTTTTAGCTGAGAGATGCAGTGTAATTCATTGAGGTGCTGGTTTACGCAACGCGCTGAATGACGGCGGCGGGGAAAGATGGGCACATATCCGCTCAAGAAAGGCGCGGAGTACGCGGAGAAAGCGAGCGTATGCTAAGGGTAGGTTCACCTCTGTGTTATTTCTTGTAGTAGGAATCTTCTGAGCATGGAGTGGAAAGGTTGAAGGATGATGTTGGTGGTTGGTAGAAGGTGACGGTAAGTATCCAAGTCCTGTACATATCTAATTGGAGCCTAAAACGCATAGAACATGCGCATTGCGTTTAAAACTCCTGTTGTTCTAGATGCTTGGATGCCATTCATATATGTGTACACATGATAAGATAGATACCGAGAAGTGGAAGGAAAAGGAGTCTTCTGTGCGTCAGGAGATACGGCAAACGATAGTCAGAGTTTTCGAAATCGCGCTGAAGTTTCAAAGCCACATGCTCATATAGATAAACATCATGGAAGAATGCATGGAGGAATGGAGGCGCATGCTTGATACATTGAATTTTGTATTGGCTGAGCTCCAGCGTTTTGAAGCCATGTTCGGCTTGCATGACTTGAACCGCTGATTTGAGACTGTTGAATTTCGAGCTGCGGAGGTTTCATGCAATTTTTTCATCGTCAGGATGCTGAGGGAGCCGGACAATCTGAGTGAGGTAGTGGAAAACGCTACACACTGGGATTGCATTCGTGGATGAAGTGCACCGAGCTGACTCCAATATTCACATAGCTTTCTCTATCTCGGAAGGTGATATTCGTATTAGCATCTGAAATTTGTTTATTACATCTAACTAGTTCGTTGGTGCTGTTGTTCTGTGACGTCACATGTTGTTGAGCAAACGCCCGCTGTCTCCTCTGTTGCGCCGCCTCTCACTCCACTTGCCCTCTACCCCTCTCACATCAAGTTTTCTATCTCCCCAGACGATCCAGTACCTTAACAACTAAGTCCCACTGAATTTCTCTCCTTGTACTTCAGAATCGAAGACCATGGCCACGACATCACCGGGAGATCCGCCGCCTGAGACGACGATGAGCTCTGAAGTCATCTGCGAACTTTTCTCACCCGAGGCTGCAAAAGCCGCACTCGAAAAAAGCCTCGACCAGACACCCAGGCCTAGAAAGGCACGCATGGAACAAGTCGATCATGCACTTGTCATCCTATCGAGCAAATTTCCCGATATCGCTGCATCCTTTGAGCGCGCGAAATCCGACCACATCACTCTCACTGCGTACGTCACCGAGCACTTGGATGCAATTGAAGCGTTTCTGCAGGGACGAGAGATGGAAGAGGATACTCGAAAGACGCTGTGCGCCAACTTGAGCAGTGTGCATGGTGCGTTGAAAAACACTGCAAAGTGGCGCAATGACGTCGAAAAGCAACAGCTTCCGCGCGTGGAGAGGAGAGCAATTGCGGTTTTCCTCCTCTTTTGTCAAGAACTAAAGGAAGAGTGGGAAGATAGGTGGTGTTTACTGAGAGACAGACTTGGGGATGACGCCTTGGCCAAAGAAGAGGATGCACATGCGACTCACCAGTGTGGTGGTGGAAGCGACTTTTTATGTGCCCATCATCGTTTCGAATACCAGGTCAAGGAAATTGAACAGAGATTGAGAAAGCTAACCCGCCGAGCGTTGCACAAGCAGTTTGAAAAGCTGCTATCTGCACTGTTGCGCTACGAACAAGCTTGCAAGGCTTTGTTACCGGAACTTGAAGCATTCGACCGCCTTGTGAGCATCTTCCAAGACATGGGAGACAAACCTCTGACACCTGAAACTGTTCAAATGATTACTTCACCTCTAGAGGATGTTAAATTGGAACATAAAGCTGCTATGCGCGTGTACAAGCAGCAGAAGAGGCTTACCGAGCTTAAAGTGTCTAATGATCGTCAAAAATCCGATCTGGAAGAGTTATCTTGTTTGTACGCACTAATAACCTCGTCGTACAAGTATGACTTGGAGGAATTTCGAACAACATACTCTCGATTCTTTCACGCAGAGTGCAATTGCCCACATGCTCTGCCTGAGAGTAACGAAGATTGCGGTCAGTCTCGTTGGCCAAAGTATCCGAGTCTGATGTGGATAGGGGAGGCTATCGATCAACTTGTTCCATTGAAGTCCGCATCCAAGGCTGAGATTTACCTTCAATTCTATTCAGCAGCTCGAGACTTCGATTTGGGTCTCAGAGAATTTCACAAATTTCGAGATCACAACAAAAACAACTTGTACACTGACATCGATGAAAGAAACGAAGATGGCACGCTTCAGCACGCCAAGATTTGGTCCGCGATGGTCAATTTCGAATCGTTCCTTCTGAACTCCCTGAACGGTTATCAGCGTTTACACGACATATACCAAGAACTCAAAGATAAAATTGCAGTGTCTTCGCAACTGTCCATGCCAAGCTCTGCCACAGTCAAAACCAGCAAAGCGGTCGTCTTTCGGTGTTTTACATACCTAGCTGTTATGCGCGACCATTTCAGTAACCTGCTGTATGTGGGGCTTTTGCAGAGTCGAAAAGATCCTGAATATATGAAGAACGAGATAGACTGGACGTTCTTCGATCACGACACGCGTGCGCTGTGGCATACTTGTCGAGACTCAATTTATAAGCGTCATAGCAAACTAGCAAAAGTTCTTTTCGGCTCAATGGAAGGATCTGAGAGCAAAGAAAATTGTGCAGACAGCGAAGAACACATACAGCGCTGTCTAGAAGGCCAGGTTTTGATGAGAGAGACCATGTCTCAGGGATCAGAATGCTACATGATGAATTGCGATCGGCTCGAAACGCGGATGGACATTCTCAAGAGCTATTCCAATGCGTACTTGGGAAACGATATTGCACAGGCACTGAACGAATACCTCGACAAGCACACAAAGGATGTTGTTGCAGTTACGCGACACTTTGGAGCTATGATTGAGGTTACACAATGCGAGGAGCCGATTTAGGGTTGGTAGGACGGAGCAAAGCAACGAAAGATGGGAGTTGAATCAAAGGGAGATGGAAAAATGCTGCATTGGAAATGGCCATTGAAGGAAACTGGGACGTATGAGGTTTTTGTTAGGATAAGAACAATGGAAAATGCGGCTGACATGCCTATACCGATTTTTCCAACAACAGGAAAAGGCGTGGTACATGGCGTGCAAAATTCCTGCTAGTTTCTCCAAAAGAGCCCAGAATTTGATTTGTCACTTGTGCAGATATGGATGCTGATGTAAAAGGATGCATGCCATAACCTGCATGGACGCGCAATGACCCAGGACGCGCAATGACCCACCCCACCAAAAAACCTATTGCAAAAGATGAGGCTGTACAGCCACCCACAGTCGCTATTATCACGAGATTTCATAGTGTTGTAGTAATTATAGCATTGCGATCATGATAGGCTACTTGTATCTACTTAGTAGCTTGGTAGTGCGGCCGTGGCAGGTGGTCCGAGTTGGGACAGCTAGTGCAGCCACCTTAGCTTGTACATGAGATGAATCAACAACAACACGTTTCTGACGCTTCTGCTTTTAAGAGGAGCCTTGTGATGCTTTGCGCTTACCCATTTGGGATAATTATATAGCTTTTTCAGCCTCCCGGGCTGCCTTTTGAGCCTCCTTTTGAGCCACCTTGGCGGCTCTCTCCTTCTCTCTCACCTCCTTGAGCCTCTCTCTCTCAACACGCTTCTCCTGGGCTATTTAAAGCTTGTACAATTAAGCTTGTCTCCTTAACTCAGATCTCTTAGCTTTCTAGAGTTGTAATTGCTGTTGTTCTTGTTGTCGTTCCATCTCATCCTCCTTAGCTTGGCGAACCTTCTTAGGAGACCAAAAGACAGCTCCTCCATAGTACTCCTCAGGCCTATTAAGTTGAAGCGTGTAGCTCTTCTTTTGGTGTCTCTTTTTAACCTTTAGAGCCTCCCTTAAGCCCTAGTTTTCTCCTTTAAGTATACTATTTTGAGCTAAGAGGTAATAGAGGCTTCGGCGAAGCTTTTTTACCTCCTTATTATTAAAATCCTTCACCTCCCAGCGTATAATAGACTCAATTTTGAGCTAATCATCTCCACTAAGGACAGAAGAAGAGCTTTCATCTAAACTAGAGGCCTCTTATTGGAACTTTTGGAGAATAACCTCAGCATTTAGTGGGTTAATGCTAGTTGCCTTAAAGGAGCTTATAATAGTCTCCTTTCTAAAAGCTGTACCCCAAGCCCTCTAAAAGAGCTTAAAGAAGTCTCCTTTTGCTAGAGGAAGGATTCCATGGCTCCAATAGAGGAAGTTTGACAACTCCTTTGAGTAGGCTGACGCTAGAGGCCCAAACATCCCAACGTCAAGAGGCTGAAGCCTATGGGTCGAATGAGGAGGATATACAGCAACTAGAATCCTATGGCTGTTGCAATAATCCAGAAAATCCATGGTTACATGAGATGAGTGGCCATCAACAATGAGTAACCGGTACCCAGTTCGAGCGTAGCGTGCAGTCTCTCTTTCAAAGACCTCTTTAAGCCAAGCTAGGCCTATATCATTGTTAGTCCATCTAGAGGGCGATGAGGTAACAAAGACTGAGTGCTTGTTTAGATTAATAGCCTCTACCCAGGCTGATTTTAGAGCTCCAGCATCTAACTGAAAGATGAGAGATGGAGAAAGAGGTGTACCATCTAAGCAGATACAGGCTAGGACTGTAATCCACTCTCTAGAGCCATCTTGTAGGCTTAAAACAACTCCTCCTCTTTTATATTGCCTCTTACTAAAGATCCTTTTAGACCTTCCAAGGATTCCAAGTAAGAAGCCCTTTTCATCCATATTGAAGATGTGAGAGGGCTATATATTGTACTCCTTCATCTTATTGTGTAACAGCTCAAAGTACAACCTATACTTGGTTGCTAAATCAGCCTTGTGACGCTTCTAGTCCATAGGACTCTGCCAGCGAGAGATGAGATGAGAGGAGTTCCTGCAGAGGAACCTAGAAACCCAGCGTTCTGAAACGTCTCTACCAAGCAAGGATGACGCAAGATGGCGTATTATTAGACGCGAAGGTGGTGTACGCCTCTCAGTGAGGGATTCGATGTACTGTACAAGCTCCTTTTCGCGTTGTAGGTGGATAGAGAGGTGGGCGAGCGCGCGAGGCTGAGTTTTGCCTTGGTGTCTTCGAGCGAGCGTACGATAGCTAATGCCAAACCTTTTTGCAACTTGGCGATAGCTGAAAGATGCGCCTAGTTCGCGCGATTTGATTTCTTCAATCGCTTCCTGAATCGGGTCTATATTGGTGGAGTTATGAGGTATTTTGTGTAGGTGTTGAGTTTGGTGGGGTGGGTCATTGCGCGTCCTGGGTCATTGCGCGTCCATGCAGGTTAATTCCCCGCTCCCGCCTTCGGAAGGTGACCCACCTCCGCATCTTGGCAGGCACCAGAGGGGAAGGCGGGGCGCAAAGCAACGATGTCATAGCACATGGCCTGCCAAAGGAATACCCAGCGATGTAACCCCAACGCCTGATCAATACCAGCAATGAGTAAAGCGACATGCATGAGCGGGGTATCTTGGAGCGACGCACAAAGGTGGGGGACATTGAGCATGCGTTAAGTGGTGAAGTACCTGCTGCGTTCCATCAACACCACCATTCTTCACAATGCTCGGTGTGAAGATACTTTCAGTACTCGCAATTGCGCAAAATCAATACGCAAAAGCGCAAGAAGTCGATTACTCGCAATATGTGAACCCGTTCATAGGGACCGAGGGCGCTATACCTGGCTATGCATGTAAGGCACCTGATCCCCAGACATCCCCTCACTGACATTTCAAAGACGGAGGCGGCGATGTCTTTGTCGGCGGCGCAGTACCATTTGGCATGGTCAAGCTCGGAATCGATAGCTACGAAAGCCCTATCAACCAAAGCGCACTCAATGGCGGATATACGCCCAAGGGTCGTGTCACGGGTATTAGTCTGATGCATCAGTCTGGTACAGGGGGAGGGCCAAAATACGGGTATCCGTCCCAGATGCCCCTCACCAAGATTGATGGCGATGTCAATGTGCTGGATAATCGCACGTATTGGCAGAATCGCGTACGTTTAGCGGCACGTCTTCGCATACACTAGCTGACGAAATAGGTCGGCCAAGATGTAGCTTCAGTTGGCTACTTTCGCACTGAGCTGGAGTCGGGTGTAAAAGTCGAGCTATCGGCCTCACGACATGCGGGACTCTACCACTACACATATCCATCGACTTCTGAGACACACGTGTTAGTGGACCTGTCGCACTATCTCCCGCACTTGACACGGTCATGGGACTCGCAGTTTTACACCGGCGGCGAGATTGAGATCCAGCCCAATTCCAAAACTTACACTGGCTACACCTCCATTGCGGGAGGATGGAACGTTGGCGCGCCAGTCACCGTCTACATATGTGGAGAATTCGATCGTGCACCAGATGAGGGCAAAGCGTTCAAAGGCAAGAACACGTTTCCCGTTGGTCGGCACTTTCGCACCTCTGACAATGCCACAACGCCGCAACCGACATTCACTGGATACAAAGCCCGGTCTGGACCGATGAATGACCGCGTTGGCGCTGTGTTCACTTGGAAGAACGCCACTAAGGTCAAGTCTCGTGTCGGCATCTCCTTCATGTCTGTGGACAAAGCTTGCGCATACAAAAACTCCGAACTGTCAACGTGGTCCATCGAAGATACCGCACAAGCAGCGCGCGACGAATGGAACCGCGACGTGTTTTCCAAAATCCGCGTCGACACTTCGGAAGCTGCAAACAAAACACGCCTGGCGTTGCTGTACTCCAGTCTGTACTTTATGCACCTCATTCCAAGTGAGCGGGTAGGCGAGAACCCACTGTGGGATTCGGATGAGCCGTCGTGGGATGACTTTTATACCATGTGGGATCTTTTTCGGAACCAGGTCTCGCTGTGGCATCTCATCCAGCCCAGTTACTACGAGTCAATGCTACGGTCTTTGATTGACATCTTCAAGAATGACGGATACTTGCCGGATGGACGATCCGGCAACTACAACGGGCTGGTGCAAGGAGGATCAAATGCCGATAATGTCCTTGCGGATGCCTATGTTAAAGGCATGAGGGGTAAGATCAATTGGACCGAAGGTTATGTTGCTGTCAAAAAAGATGCCGATGTGCTGCCGTTCTTTGACCAAAACCCCGCCGATCGATATGGCTCACTGAAAGAGGGCCGGGCAGCACTGGATGACTGGATACCGCTGGGCTATGTCTCAGCCGACCGCAATACGCGCGCAGTATCGAGGACGGTGGAATATGCGCTCAACGACTTTGCTGTCAGTCAGATTGCAGCAGGCGAGGCGCCTGGCGATCAGGACCTGTACCTGCGCAGGTCAGCAGGTTGGCAGTTGAGCTGGAATCCCGAAGCAACAAGCCGTAACTTTACTGGCTTCGTCATGCCGCGATACGCAAACGGGACTTTTGACGAGACTTACGACATTACCGACTGTGGCGGTTGCAACTGGGGCGACCTCAGTTACGAAGGGACTGCGTTTGGTAAGTTGCCGTCTCCCTGCTATGAATATCCTGCTGAACCCGACAGAATATTCCTTTGTCATTCCCCATGACATGTCGCGATTGATAACGCTAATGGGCGGCGCCTCACACTTTGAAGCACGACTCGACTACGTCTTCCAGCCAAACACGTCTGGCGTCGATCTCGGTGTAAACGGACTAGATATTACGACGATCAACAACGTAGCGAACGAGCCAGACTTCCAAACGCCTTACCTTTACAATTACCTCAACAAACAATGGAAGAGCGTCCAGCGCTCCCGCCAACTCGCCAACGACTTCTACTTCAACACCACAAACGGCATCCCGGGAAACAGCGATGCAGGCGCCTTGAACTGCTGGTTAGTCTGGCAGATGCTGGGCCTGTATCCCATAGTCACGACGCCCGTGTATCTTCTTGAGAGTCCCTGGTTCTCCGACATCAACGTCACCATCAACCACGACAAGACGCTGAGGATCCGGGCGGAAGGCTTAGACGATGGCGACGGCCGCCAGGGATACTACGTGCAGAGCGTAAGCATCAACGGCGAAGCGTGGACGCGGAACTGGTTCGAGCATGCGGATGCAGGCGGTATTATGACGGCAGGCGGTGAGATTGTCTTTACGCTGGGCCACGAGCAGCTGGCCTGGGAAACGGGTCCCGTCCCGCCGAGTCCCGGTCATCAAGAAGTGGATATTCCAGGCGACGAGGCCTTGTTCTAGTTGGATGGGCTAATAAGTATTCCTACGCTTCCATTGGCTCAAACCCCTTCTTGCTCGGCATCAGCATCATCCTCGTGGTGGTTGTGTCTTTCCACCGTATAAGCAATACGCCCACGGCTGTAATAGCAAAATAAGTCGAAACGCCAAGACAGTCTTCGCCTACTGTGGCACCAAATCCAAACGCTGATACAGAGACTGGTTACCTCTGTAGAAGCACC